CCCCCCCCCCCCCCCCCCCCCCCCCCCCCCCCCAAGTACATTATTTCCCGTAAATGCAATTTCAGGCTTTTGCACTCTTGGCATGATCTCCGTAATGCGAGAGCGTTTCTCTCACGGGGTCGCATTTGGCTCTCGGACGCCCCGGCGCTCGTATGGGCCCATAAATAAAACGAGTGAGAGCCATGAAAGGGAGGGAAATTGGCTTCGTATCCCTTTGTGTCATTGTAATTAGCGAGATGAGTTTAATGACATGCCACGGATCCCCATTTCTTATCCGGCCTCTGGAAGAAAAATGAGAAAAATTATGATTCATGCAACAAAGCACCAGTCATGATGCCAGTCGCAATCGTCGACGCAAACTCTGGAGCCATGAAATCCGTCCTGAATGTCCTTAATGTCCTTGCCGAGCCGTAACGTAAATAAAGAGCCCGAAGCTGGCACGGGCTCACTAGAATACAAAAGCGACCATTTCTCGACGGAAAAAAAAACCGCGCCTCCCCGTGTCGCAGTGCCGTGAACCCGGTACCCGTACGTCAGTACCTCGGATTCACCGTGCAGTACGTGCAAAGAGGAAGGGAATTTCTCGCAGGACCTGTTATTGTGAACGTTACGCCACGGGGCCACGTGCTTCCTATTTTCCCAGACCAGTCGGCCGTGTCTCACGTAAATCTTGCAAAACCTTTTCGCATCTGGAAACCCTCAAAAAAAAAACCAGCAAAAAAAAAGTAGTTTATCTCTGAAGATTCCTTCGAACGGGAATTGAAGACGTTGCAACCCCGCAATTCATCACGGCAGCCGCCCATGAAATCTGAATACGTTTATCGCCTCGCTTCATCTTCGTCTGCGATGCGCAGTGAATGCGAAAAGGGTGCACGCCGAACCCGGGTGCACAGGGTGCGCAGGGTGCACAGGGTGCGCAGGGTGCCCCTCACGAATCCCCCTCAGGTGATCGAGAGAATCGTAATTTTCGGATCGAGGAAACGTCACGTCACATTCGAGACACGCCATAAAATCTTTTTTTTTTTTCACCCTCGATCGTCGAGGCGAGGAGTGTGAATCCCACGCAAAGAGACGGAAGATAGTTGATGAAAGCTAGTTGATGGAGGGGAATTGATGGAAGAGAGTTGATGGAGGGGAATGGACGGAGGGGAGTGGGCAGAAAGACAGAGATGAATCGTCCTTGTCAGTTTTTAGAAAGCGAAGGCTAGGCGGGGGCGTATCGAGGCTTCGTGGGTGCCCTATTGTGCCCGATGCCTCACGAGCCAATGGGCACAAAAGGCGTTGGCGGATTCGGTTAAACCTCCATATGCGATCTGGACCCCACCTGATGCGGCGGCAGTCGCTGGGCGGAGGGCCGCAACGCAAGGAGCCTATCGTCTGCATGAGGTCAGTTTTTTCTTTTCTTTCTTTTTTATTTATTTTTTCCTTTCATTTGTATTATTTTTTATATTTTTGTTAAATATATTTCTTGGCTTAGTGACGTGTGAAAAGCGGTAATTCGCTTGTGGACGGAACGCAGCGGTGCCCGTCCGGGAGACTCGATGGTTCAATTTAAAGGGAGTCTGGAACTTTGCCGTCCCTCATCTTCGAGCGGCTCGTTCGTCTCAAGAGATATCTCTTAAGACGCTCGTCCGTTAAAGGGAGAGAGGAGAGTTATCGCTCGTTCGCGGGATGAAATATGACTTCGCCACCTGTACGCCGTTCGGTCGTATAAAAGGAAGTGACAGGATTTTAATCACGCGCTTACCATCTGTACTGTACATGTATTGATAGCAGAATACGCGATCGGGTGACCAGGTGTCGGTAAACCGTATGGACACGGGATAATCCGCGTTTCTTCCCCGCCTTTGCAGGCCCGATCTCTCGGGATCTCGCAGATCCCCCGATCTCCCAGGATCTCGCAGATCCCCCGATCTCTCTGAAGACACGTGGAAGGAGCCACACCCGTCACCGATCCAGCAACGATTCCTGAATCGTTGCGTGCTGCACAAGCTCTGCGTCATCTTCTGCCTGTCGTTCGTCTACGCGACCGTCGGGCTGACTGTCAATTCGACCCGGGAGAATCCCGGCGAACGACTGCAAGTCGAGGCGGAGCCGAGAGTGCTGTGGAGTCCGAGGGTGCAGGGTGAAGGGTGCACGGTGCAGGGTGAAGGGTGCGAGGTGCAGGGTGAAGGGTGCAAGGTGCAGGGTGAGGGGTGCACGGTGTTGGTGCTGGTGCACAGTGCGCCCGGGAATGCTGTGCAGCGTCGGGTCGTGCGGGAGACGTGGGGGTCCGTGAGGAGTTTTGTCGACCGGGGACGAGTCGTGTCGGTCCGGGTCGTCTTCGTCGTGGGGAATCCTGTCGAGGGTGGGGTCGACGGGGTCGAGGAGTCGCTCGAGAGCGAAAGACAGCGATTTCACGATATCGTTCGTGGTGACTTTCAAGATACTTACCGGAATCTGTCGGTGAAATCGATCTTGGGGTTGAAGTGGGCGACCCAGGTGCATCCAGATGCTCTGTTGGTCGTCAAGGCCGACGATGACGTCATCGTGGACGTTCCGAGTTTCTGGAATCACTTGAGACGGAGTTTCTCGGGCGACCTCGTCGACTTAGACGGAACGTTGTTCTGCAGCGTCCATCTCGGCGCGAAACCTCAGCGTTTCGGAAAGTGGAAAGTGACGGAATCCGAGTACCCGGGCTCGGAGTACCCCCCGTACTGCGCCGGCCTGGCCTACGCCCTCACGACGAATTCGGCCAGGAAGCTGCTGGAAAGGAGAACCAGAACGCGCGGAAGCGTTCCGTCGCTCTGGATCGACGACGTGTACGTGACGGGCGTGTTGGCCGAAGAGGCCGGTTTCCGCCATTTCCGCCTCAATCTTCGCTACGCCCTCGGCCTCGGCGAAGGGGCCAGGGCGTGCGAGAGGCCGCCCTGCCCCTTTCTAGTCGTGCACGTGTCGCAGGGGGACATGGTCGCGGCGAGTGGGGTCGTCAAGGTCGTCTGGCAGAACATGATGGCTTCGAGGATCGAAGAGTCTTCACGAGAGCGATGATTCGTTTCATCCGGTGCCAATAAAGTCTGTGATCGCGATTTCGCGTCCGTTTTCGCTCGTTCCGACGTCGCGCCGCAGAAAGTTTCCCGGAAGAAATTTCGCCTCGGAAGCGACCGAAGGCATAAACTCACGGCATGCCGCTTCAGGTGATCGGGCGAGAGAGGAGTTCGCGCAACGTCGCAAATATATTCGTATTTTTTAAACAGACTCTGCTTCTGGAGGCTGGGAGACTGAGAATCCACTGGGGCGAAACGGGAAAAATTTATTGCCCATAAACTGTCAATTATGCCATTAGTGGGTCTAGGCTCATTTAACATTTCAAGACCAACAAGTGAAATTTTCCAGCTCGAAATCTGCTAAGTTGAAATTTCGCATACCTCGGAGCTCATTGCTTTCTCATAGCAAATTGACAAATAAAGTCATATTTAATTTTTTATTTTCTGGCATTCGTGTCTCGAACTTCCTTATGTTTCCAATCATGTATTCGTTGCTATTTGTGATTTTCTTTCGGTTAACTCGGAAGTTCGGCATGGCGACTGAAGAATAATGAAGCAAAAGGACAGTGGGCTTATCGGATTATCGGATTTTCCGGATAGATTGCGCCTGTGACTGGTATTAAATCCAAGATTTTTCCGCGATAAGAAAGGAGGAAGCAATACAGTACTGTAGCTCAGATTTTACGATTCATGCTGATAATTTTTCTCATTTTTCTCATTTTCCTCATTTTTATTATTTTTCTCATCGGTTCCCGATGCGCGACAATCAAAGGGAATTTCCAATCAGTCGAACTGCAGGTGACTCGACTCGCTTAACCAGATCCTATCGGGTTCGAATCAACGAGTCCCACCTGCACTAATTTAATCCCACCCTGAGGGCGAGAGCCACCTTTACGCGCAGGAATGATGGACGGCTCACAAAAAGAGTGAGAGCATCCCCCAACGTCCTCCTCCCACGGGATCCCCCCGGCGAATGGGAGAAACCTTGACGGGGCCCCGTGTATTCCTCGACCTCCGACCTCCCTCGCCCACATGCATCCTCGCTCTCCCTCATATGCAATGCAAATACGCCGATCCCCTTCCGTCTTTTCCCTCTCGCCCCGTGGAAATCGGATTCCTCTGCCACGGTGGTCCGAAATACTGCCACGGATTTGCTACGGGCATTGTGGTGATCACTATTTTTTAACTGGCGTGTCTCGTTCGTCCCCTGCACATTTCACCGTAGGCGATAATATCCAGCGGAGCACAATGCTCACCGGCTTCCTCGGAAAACAATTACCGCTTTCGAAAATACCTCTGTCCAAAACTGAATCCCCGGGGCTTCCGCCATCCTCGGTATTCCGTTTCTCTTACATTTGGATGTCCAGTTTTCTTTGGCGTTACCGTTGCAGAACTTTTCATACCTCCTTCACGCTGCGCCCCTTAACGTTCTGCACGTCACCAAGACACACACCGGAAAAGAAAATTAAAATCACCCTCAATCAGTATCGATCATCGCCTCCATTCCCTTCCCCTCCAAGTCCAACCCCACCATCGCAACAGGGCTTCTCACGAACGTCAAGTCCATCCCTATTCTGCATACTGCATCGAAGCGTCGGCAAGAAAGATGGAAGCTGAGCCTAGAGCAAGGCAGAGCGGATGCCTTCCCTCGGGCGCGTGCAGTCGGCTTCCTCAACTGACTGCGCCTCAGCTGAACTTATACAAATGAAGTGCCACCGTGATCCACAGGGAGTCTCAAAAACATGTAAACATTGTTTTAATGCATTGTTGTATCGGATTGCGTTTTAGCTATCGAGTTTAAGGGGAAGGTTCTAGTTGGCTTATCTAAGTTGGCTAATTGGTAAGTGATATGTGATAGTGTAAGTGATATGTATGTAATGTTTGTGAGCGAGTAAAGTTTAAGGTGTAAAATGAAGGAAGATGATTGCTCACATTCAAATCGCGCATGCATCTTCCCGAGACACCCCGTATATCAGGAAGTACTTCATATTGTGTATCCGCGCGATGAGAGAGATAAGCAAAGGCGGGCATTAAGTCGTCAGGCGGCGCTCGAATAAAAGGGAAACCTATACGATTAATGAGGCAAGAGGGTAAATGAGGACGGAAATCGGTAGCGGCGCCTCACTTCCTCTCAACCCTTAACCCCCGAAATACCCATAGACCAAAGACCACAGGGATCCCGCCGGCTGCTTGAGAAGGCAGGAAGGCTGACCTCGTTGGTCGGTTCAGACAACTACTTAGGGCGCGATGCGTTTGTCATTCCTTAGTCGTTCTATTGTCGGTTCTGCTTGGGACGACGGGCGATACGGGAAGACTCCGAGACCCACTGACGTTTGTGGGTGTCCATTGTACGATTCACTCCATGTACGATACAAACCTTGTTCTTTTTTTCCCAGGGGTATTGTGTGACGGGGAAAAAAAAAAGAAGCAGACGAGTTGAGCAATTGCCGTCCAGCAGGGGGTCTGCTTTCTCTAACGAGGAGCTCCAGTACCTCATTCGAGACGAGTGCATCCTGAATCTCGACTACCGCAATTTTCTTCTCGACCAGCTTCGCGAATCTAAAACATCTCAAGATCTGGCGTTAAAAGCCGCCCCTTCCATGTTTAGACTCTCCTCCTACATATTCTCCGTGTACTTTAAAAATATACGAGAGTCGTATATTTTAAAATATGAAAACTGGCAACACTGCATGACTTGGCCCCATCGCGAACCGACGATGGTAGCTCATGTCATTCCTGCTCATTACACGCGAGAAGTTTCGGTCGCATGAACCCGTTTGCGTTCGAATTAGAAGCATTTGCTGTGGCATCGAAAGTTTCGCTGGAAGTGGAGCAACGGTCCTCCGCCACGTCGAGCGTAGGAACGTCGCAAACGTGATCGTCGATCACGAGTCGCTGCGTTCCGCTGCGTTTCGCTGCGCCGAGCACTGGCGAGACGAAAGGTTCTCGAGAGGGACGCGGTTCCTCGCGTCGCTGTTGGAATCCTATGGCGTTTTATTCGTTCCCCTGCGGGTTTTGGTTCTTTCCGAAGCCGATGAGCAGGTTGAGTGGAATGTGGGAGTGGAAGGTGCCGAAGGGTGGGAAAAATCCATTGTGTTACGTGGGATTATGTTTTAGGACTGCAATAAAGTCGCTAATTAATACTTAAATGGCAACCCTTGTAATAAACTTTGACAGTGGCTTTCAACCGGTAGATGATCAAACAAATAAAGATCAAACGAGTAAAACATCAATATATGGGGCAAATAAAGCCGAAAACTTCAGTCCGAACAAACTACAAGGCAACACAGGAATCTAAAAAAAAAGGAAGAAACTAGCAAGCTGATCCAGAAATCCCAACACATATCAAATTATACTCGGCGTGAAAGTCTGAAAGCATGGAATTCAAATGAGGGCTCTACCCTTTATGCCAGTTTCAAATTTCAATACTTTCATTTCGAGTCATGAATCTAAAACATTTTTATGTCCGAAAATGTAAATTTAAATTCTCGAGAGGGAACCGAATTCCATGGAATAAAAATGCTCGTTGGACCGAACTGATGATTCAATCAGTCCCATCAAGGCTAATCTCTTGGTAGGTCCTTTCCATTAAAACGAAACTTGGAAAGAAACTCCAGATGGTGATCCGCACCGGTTTCACTCTTTTTTTCCCCTTCGGCAGCCGTTTTTTCCCGTCACGGTCAAACGGAAATCGACTTTCATTTCCTCGAAATCGGCAACGCCGAACGAAGCGAAAATGATCTGTGGGGTTCGAATTTTATCGCTCACCTCCGGGACGATTGAATCCAGGTGAATTTATGTTCCTCGTTGGCCACCTGGAAAAGACCACCCGAGGTTCGGTTAATTGCGTGGACATTCGTGGTGATTTTCTTTCACGGGCTCCGCGAGGCGCCTTTTGCAAGTCATTTCGGAACCAACAGGGAAGGGAGAACGTATGCGCATTATTTTATTTCACGTTTTAAATTGGATTTAATTTAATTAGTTTCTTTTTTTTTCTTTCCGCTGTGATGAAGTGATTTTTTTTTCACTCGTGACAAGTGCGAAAATTTTCGTGAGAATTCTGTGATGCATTTTGGTATGCTGTGAGGTCTAGTTCTGCAGCTCGTTCATCAAAGAGATTAGCTTGAAAGAGTTCTTTCGGCATTTTGAGAGGGCTTTCTCGTCCAAAAATGTTTAAAAACTATCTGCACGGAAACCTATGCTCTAAAATTTAGCGTAGACTTAGATTTAGGACTGAATCAGGAAGTAATTTTCTTAAGCAAATATGGTAAAGCCATAAAAAATGTAAAAATGAGGAAAGCGGCCTGTTGGGTCTTCGTTTCAACGTTTCTTTCCTCGTTTCACTCCGCGCCTTTTTCATTTCGTTTTCTCCCCGGAAGAGAGGGAAGCGGTCGGTTGGAGATTCCAAGAGGAACGGGAATGCATTCTCGTTTCGATCCGAGGATCGTTGCTAGACCTCTCGAGGAAGAAAGTGATAAAAAATGTCAGACGTTTCATCACGAGCCTTTTCCAACAGAGCATTCCAATCATTGCATCCGTGGAATCCGCTGTCGTGCCTGAAAGTACTGAAATGTTTTTGCTCTGACTGAGGACAACACCGTCGAGCTTCAAAATTCATAGTATCTGCCCCCACGTTGGACGCAGAAAGGAACAGGGTGTGGTAACTTCGTGCAAGAACCTGTTGCGAATCGGTATTTCTTTTTCACGAGGAGTACACTCCCACACTAACAACGATTGCGCAAGCCATACGAATTTGTGTCCTTTTTTGGAAGCATCGCCGGCACGGAGCCAAGAATTTTTTTCATACTGGCAGTAAATAAATCCGATCCCATCGGCATAGAGCACTTCTGAGAATGCAAATGAAATTACTATACCGTACCGCCTCGGCCAATCGGTGAACACGACTGCCACCGGGGAAAAGCGTGCGAACGTTTTCCTCCCCTTTGGACGCAAGCCAACGTGGCCGGCGTGGACACAGCGTCGAGGAGAATGAACCCCCTCGAC